GACATCACAAACGCTGTGAAGTGCTCACCTCTCGTGCAAGACATCCTGAGGTATGCTACCGCGCCAAAGGCCAGCTCGGACGCGTCGCAGAAGATATGTAGTTCTCGATGCATGACTTCCGTGTCCTGCGGAATCTCGACTTTGTAGCACCGGGGAATCTCGATGTCTCCCAGGAGAGGCATTTCCTGGAGCCAGCCTTGCCAGGCTGTGAGCATGTCTCCACTCAGTTGCTGGTCCCATTCGTGCTTCCGCATCCAGAGCTGCTGAACGAGCACCTTCGCCTTCAAGACAAAGGGAGAAACCACCCATGTCCGTCACAATGTTCCTAACCATCTGTGAAAAAATTGGAGTGGGCCATTCATAACTTTCGCGGCAAACGCCGTTTTCATACATCAACATCACGCAACCGCGCGTGACCTTGAAAGACAGAGTCAAGACATGCTTGCTTGTGTACACTTTCTGAAATGAATGATTGCTGATTAGTGATATCCCAAACTCTGCGAGAATGGAAATGCATAGTCATCGTAGTCAAGCATTTACGTTCCATTGTAAAAGTGTCTCAGGCAAACGGTATTTTGCGGTGAATTTTGAGCCGTGTGGAAATGCATCATGAAATAAATTCAACGAAAACATTATCACGCAACGATATCTTCACGTCTTTTGATCTTCACTATACGAAAGAACATACATTTTTGAGTATGTATGGGGAATTTCTAGTTAATCCGATAATAAATATGGCAGTTAGAGTCCTGCTAAGAGTAACATGTCGCCGGCTGAGGCGGGATCGGCCGACGCGGGAAACGCAGCAGTGACAATTTTGTGTTTACATGTTCATATTTCAATTGTTTACCAACCTATTTTCAGAATTCTTTCACCATAAGATTGCCTGTACACTTCTTAGTCTTCTCACAAAATTTGACGCGAATCGAACGTAATCAGCGGTAAGGAGCGCGATGTAAAGACGGAACCGTTCCGTCCCGTCCCGGCACAGTCTACAATTCAGGCGACGCGTAGCGGTCGGCGCCGGCTGCCGAGTCGCCGCGTCGCCGCGGCCACAGGATGTTCACTTTACACCGAGCTATTACTAGAACAGTTGTGAATCGATTTTCTTATTGCTTGCACGATGAGATGTGCAATTCAATTCTGGACAGGTAGCCATAAGTAATTTCGCATCAATATTATGAGATATTGGCGAAAAACAGGAGGGGTAGGGCGAAATTCACTCTTCCCCCTCCACTGCGCGTGCTAACATACGTTTGCATATGTGCCATTTTCTTCACAACTTATCAATGGCCCACTCTAATTTTTTCACAGGTTGTTAAGAATATGGTAGGCAATAAAATATATGAAAATGAGCCAAATCGAAGGTGGCGTGTTTTTTGCTATTTCAATTTTTGTGCTTAACCTTCGCCCTGGTGGGGGGGGGCCATTTTGGCCCCCCCCTGTGGTTTTTCAGCGATAACTCAGAAACCACTTGAGTTAGCGCCCTGAAACTTTGTATAGCTGTTTATTCAACATTTTTACATCATGTCCTTTTTTGGGGGGTTCGGGTCAGGTCAGGTCAGGTCACAAGGTCACCAAAACTGACACCACCTCTAAAAAAGTTCAAAGCTCTCTCAAAGGCACAGCTTTTATCCGATCGATGTAAAATTTACAGTACTTGAAGATGTCACCCAGCTCTACAAAATGGCTATCTCGGATTTTTTATAAATGTGACCTAAGGTCAGGTCAGGTCATCGCTGCTCCCCATTATAAGTCAATGGGAGAATCGAAAAGTAGTTGTTTTTCAGCTAAATCGGGCGTGATTGTTCCTATATTTCGTTATTGAAGTGTCTTGGGTCAGCAAATCACAGCCCATGTGAAACCATTTGCTTGTGACCTCGCTGAGGTCACGCTAGGTCATCTCCCTGGTCACCAGAGGTCACCAGCGGTTTTTCTGCACTTACTTGTTATTGAATAGAGATAGAGACTCCGTTCGACGTTTATCGTGTTTGTCTCGTCAATGCGGATCGAATGATATGCAGCATGACCTATTTCGGTAAGGTCATGACCTTGACCTGAGGTCAAATTTTCAAAATGACCTTTCGAGGTCAAACTATATATCATTCGACGCGTCTCGACGAGCCAAGCACGATGGTGCATGAATCGTTTCTCTATTTTCTCGTGAATGCATGCTATAGTTAAAAACATTTTCAACGAAATTTGCCAAGTTGACCTTGCATGACCTCTGTAGGCCAAACCGTTGAGCTGAGGTCAAATCTGACGAACCTTGGCGAAAGAGCTTGAAAAGAGCTATCGATTGCTTTTTTCCGCGGCTCTCTAGCTCTTCTAGTTTCCGAGCTACAGCGGAATATGTCCGGCAACACCGAAAACACTGAAATTTGACCTATGATGACCTCTAGCGACCTCAATATTGACCTTAGCGAAAAAATGACCGAAATACTTTCGAACGTACTTGTTATGGGCTTTCGTTTGCTTTTTTCCGCGTCTTCCTAGCCCTCTTCGTTTTCGAGTTAGACGGGGGGGGGGGGTCATTTTGGCCCCCCCCCACCAGGGCGAAGGTGGCTCAGACCCACACCAGGGCGCGGGTTAAGAACAGAGTTAAGCACATTTCAAGGTCATATATTTAAGTCGATGCAATTCTAAACAAATGCTTAAGAAATTACCTAAACAGTAAGGTTTATTTCATTCAAATCAAACAAGTACAACCAAAGTTATGGTCGTTCAAAAATATAAAGATGCAACATTTTGTAAAAATTTGAAGCCCTATATTTAGAAGACCTGTGGTCAGAATGTGCAAAAAAACATCAATGTAATGTCCGGGGCGACACAGGAACTCGCTCACAAATTTATAATGAAATCGCTGATGGTAAGGTGCAAAACAGCCGATTTTTGTTCGATTTGACGTGGAATGCCCCGGCTGTCAACGGAGCAGACGCGGACGGCCGGGTTTCTGGTCCGTCCCAAAATGACCATCTGCCATCTGCACATAATATGGTCGATGACTGCGAAATTGTAACAAATCAACGCTTTCCAGGAATCAAAACAGATTGACATTTTATGTCTGACTAACACACTGCTGACGGAAATCATACAAAAGGACTTTCTAGTTTCTAGCCCGCGCCGGGCCAGCCCGGTGCTCGGCGCCAACCGAGCCGGGCCGGGAGGGGGGGGAAGGTAGGCCGTCTGAGCACCCCTCGTCTAAACTCGGCTCCTGGGCCACGATAGGTACGACGTGGGCGAGGGGGCGGTCGAATGGATCCCCTCGGTTTTTCGCAAATAATTGGGGTAAACAGTGGCCGATTGCGACGAAACTGTCAGTGCCCTCAGGTTAATCAATTCTACATCTACTCCTAAGATTTCATTATCCTGACCCAAACGACCTTTGACCTGTGATCTATTTATCTAGACCATGTTTGGCCGGCATTGCGATTCGGCGTATGTCGGCTCACATTAGCCGCGTGCTTGCAGTCCTTTCGTGGTTTCAACTTTCACGCGTACAAACATGTGATATGATGCTGGTCCCATGCATTATGGTGGGTATCAGCTGTCAAGGTGACCCAGAGGTCAGGTCAGGTCATTGACTTTTGATGACCTCGTTCCACTTTTCGCAAGTTTTACTTGTTTCTAATCTAGTTTTTGGTGCTAATTTCGAATTTAGCAACCATTTGAACATTTACGAGTTAGTTTTGGTGCCTTCGTAACATGTTACGCAGCTGTCAGAGGCCGTTGGCACCTACTGCGAATACCTGGCAGGACCGCTATTGGTTGATCTGACCTGACCTGACCTGGCCTAAGTGGATGAAAACATCATTGATTATCAAAACTAACAGGATATTCGTGATCAGCAACCCTAAAAAAGTAATATTCTCACTCAACGACGCTTTAACACTTAACAGGTCCCGACTTTACCGTCGTTTGGGTCATTGTTCTGACCCGGAATGTCAACCAATGACCTTGGACCTTAAAAATTAGGTATCATCGGCTTCCTCTTGTCACGGGCAACACGTTCGTTTATACCGCAAAGCTCTAGCTCGATCAGGGGCCAAACGGCAAGGCGGGATCCAACGGGCCCCCCCCCCCTACCTTCGCTGCTGCAGCAAGACACCAACACCGGCGAGGGTTGAGTGGCATTCGAAAGAACGTCAAAAAGCAAGACGAAACATTTCGGTCATCTATAGGTCAGGTCAAAGGTCCGGTCACCAGAGGCCATCAAAGGTAAAATGTTACCTACTTCAACATTCTTCGAAAATCCGGTGCATACCTAACTTGGGAACCAGTAGAGCTACAGCGCTGCGAGAAATCGCATTCGATAACCCTTTTAACGTTCGATCCGTAATGTGTCCTCATTGTTGACCCCACGTCAAGGTTTAGTCTCTAGAGGGCAAAAAGTAAAGAAGCCGTTTTTACGAACTGTTTTGCTTCAATAGCTTCAATAACACAAAGGCCCAGGTAGCCACCTGGTAACAACAGGAGCGTCGTGGGTAGCCACCCGCCCACTTTTATGACCTTTGACTGTTCAATGCCTTTCGTGACATGAAATTACCCCAGGGAAATAAGAACGGGTCACGTGTGCCATTTTGCAATTCAAGGTGTTATGTTTGCTTGTAATTTGGTGTTTGGAGTATTTAGAGTGACGCTCATTTCAAAGCGAAACTGTCAAAGCGATTTGCGACTCGGTGTAGCTATTGCAGCATCGAAACTTTTTATGAGATGAGGTCACTTGACGTTGCCTGTTGACCTGGCATTGTCAACAGGCAAAGTCAAGTGACCTCATCTCATAAAAAGTGTGCCAAAATTTGAGATATTTCCAAAAAACGTAAGAGGGTGCTCAAACAGGGTGCCCCCCCCCCCACCCCACCCCGTAGCAGGGCGCGAGTTGATAGGTAATGCCCTTTTTATTGCACTTTTGCCTATAGGTATGTTATAGGTATTCTGTGAAAGTCTGTGGATAAATCCGTTTAAAATCATCCCGTTTTACTTCTGTGTCACTTTTTTAGCCGTGGATGCTATCATCAGGGTGGAGCCAAACACTATCATCCTTCCGGCCGGAGTCGGCCTCATCGAGCTGACGGAGCTGCGGAGCTCACGGGAGACTGTAAAACGCCTGTCAGTCTCCGCCGCCGACCTCCCGCGACTGAGGGGGCAGCTGCCGGAGGGCCTCAAGCGCCTCAATATCAGAGGTGAGATACCACGGATCATGCATGTAATGCCGGTATGATGGACAATGCATATGGATATACAAATGGACAGGGAGACGGCAAATGGACGAACCGATCAAATTCAGCCAACATCTTACAGCCTTGTTTGTGTTATATGGTATTGTTAGAGTGATGCAATGCATGCATTTGCATATAGTGTGAGCATCAAGTGCATGCATGAAATATTATTGTAGCAATTATTGTAATTTGAAATGGTTAGATTGCAACCACTGCGAACCATATAGTTATGTAGTTTACCAACCTGATCCGTTACTATACCTTGACTGGCTGCCTAGTGCCTAAGCCAATGTGCCTTGCAAACATCGTATACTTATGTTGCCCACATTTGAATATTTACGTATGTATGCTGTTGGTAAAAATATCGTTGTGCAGCCGCTCGGCTGTGTCAGTGCTGGCTGTGTCAGTGTCTGACACTCTGGTGTCAGTGGTGCAGCGGGGAGCTGGCCGCAGCTCTGTCCGACTGCAGTCAGCTGACACAGCTCTGTCCGACAGGGCCGGAGGTGACGGAGCCGAGGTGGCCGAGAGAGTCCCGTAGGGATTGTCTGTCAGTGTCGCTCCAGGGGGTGGCTGCCGACACCATCAGTCACCTGGCTGACCTGGGACGGACGGTCACAGTACTGGAGATATACGGTGAGCAGCGGCAGCACGGACAGGCCGCTGATATACGGGCTCAGCGAATGGCGGACACCGAGTAACGGTGTGCCGTTGTCGGACCTTATGGAGACAGGTGTGATACATAGCCAATGTGCTTTGCGAAATAATGAAGCCAATTGAGCTTCAAAATGGAGGACTGTTCACTCAGTGACATATTCGTTCAGAGTTAGTTGATCATACTCATAACAATTGTGTTGCACTGTTCAATGAAGTTCAATGCATTTTCTTAACACTATTAGTGGCAGGCTCCTGGCTACCCCTATTAGTGGCAGGGGGCTGTTTATGACCCCCTTGATATCTCGAGATCTAACGGGCCGATTTTCAAAATTCAAACGGCATTCGATTTCGCTCAACGTGATCTACATTTCTAAAAAATAAAAATTAAAAAATGTCAATAGGGGGGTAGAGGGGGGTAAAAACGGGCAAATTGCAGATACATTTTAGACTGTTTATCACGGCCAGGTTTCTGAACCAATCTTAACGCAACTTTTGCCGATCGATAGAGAATGAACCAGGAATTCACATGGATCCTAAAAATATGCATTTTCAAAAATCATAGGCGGATACAGATCATTGAGATTGGGGGTACACAAAAAGTATAGTAAATAAGGTTTTTGTTGGTACTGTTTCTAAAAAGGGTGGCAATGGTCTTGTTATGTTACAATTTTCTTATGAGAGAACGACTACAATTGTATTGGTCATGCATAGGCGGTGTCAGGGCACCTATGTTGGGAGGTAAAACATAACCCCCCTTTTTGGGCGCCTGGATCCGCCTATTATAGCAAAAACGTGTCAAAAGAGGATGCACAATAACTTTGCATATGTTATCACATGATACCTTTCATTCACTGTTCGTAAAACTGGTGCATACAGTTATAATACATCAGCATCGTGATCTTCGCCCAAATGACTCGCTTCACGAATAGGACCCCCCAATTCCCAGTGCTCTGGAGCCGCCCCTGGTTAAGTTATGAACTTGAATTTTTTAGGGAATGTGCCCAATTTAGTTATAGGAAAAGTCAGAAAATTTCAGCATCGTAGCTTCAGCGGTTTTGGAGATATTCCCGAAAAACCTGAGGGGTGGATGAAAACAACCCCCCCCCCCCCCTCCTGCCACTAATAGGGTTAACTACTTGCATATATCATATAATAGCACTGTTATACCATTGTCTACTGTGTCCATAAAACCATGTGAATTATTAGGTGTTTTTTCGTTTTGTCATATATTGACATGTATTACAGCTAACTGATCGTGTCTGTATGTGCGTCTGTGTGTTTTCCAGATTGTACTGATCTTACGGCCGGCAGCCTGGAGCCCCTCACCAGGTGCCGTGGGCTGCGATGCCTATCAGTCACCGCCACCGACCTCCCGCTACTGAGGGGGCAGCTGCCAGAGGACCTCTGGTACCTCAATGTCAGAGGTGATATACCGCAGATCACACATGTAATGCCGGTATATGCAAATGGTCAGCGAAGACGGCAAATGGACGAACCAATCAGCCTCAACTAGCAAGTTTCGTCGTTAATCGTGTATATTACTCGTATTGTGGTGAGAGGGGGAAGGGGTTCAATGCATACCCTTCGATAGTGTTAATGCTTGTGGCATATGCGTGGAATATTAGTGTTACGTCACGGGGTGATTTTAAGTTGAGGACTGAGGTACTAGCGATAGTTGCATTGTCACAAGCAACAAATTTCCAAACAAACGTATTGAGCATTAATCGTCGACTGGCACTGACTGATAGCTCGCTGACGACGAGTCTGAGCAGACTGACGGGACTGACTGGCCGCGGCCCTGGCGCGGCGGTTATACAGAGTATAGGTGGCGACACGATCGAAGGCGGCCAGCTCGGGAATGCATGCATTGTTACAATTAGTGAGCAGTTGTTCCAATGAGGAATGATTATAGAAATAGTGCAACCAAAAACAGTAGTATAAGTAGTTTCATAGACTACTGTATTATGCATATACTTATCGCATATACATACCTATTATGTTCATATTCACATTCTACATATGACTGCTGGTGCCAATTGCTGTGCGGCCGCTCGGCTGTGTTAGTGCTGGCTGTGTCAGTGTCTGACACTCTGGAGTCTGGTGTCAGTGGTGCAGCGGGGAGCTGGCGGCAGCTCTGTCCGACTGCAGTCAGCTGACACAGCTCTGTCCGACAGGGCCGGAGGTGACGGAGCCGAGGTGGCAGGAATGGTACGGGGATCTGTCAGTGTCGCTCCAGGGGGTGGCTGCCGACACCATCAGTCACCTGGCTGACCTGGGACGGACGGTCACACGACTGGAGATATACGGTGAGCAGCGGCAGCACGGACAGGCCGCTGATATACGGGCTCAGGGAATAGCGGACACCGAGTTGAGGTGTGCCGTTGTCGGACCTCATGGAGACAGGTGCGATAGGTACATAGCCAATGTGCTTTGCGAAATAATGAAGCAAACTGAGCTCAAAAATGGAGGACTGTTCACTCAGTGACATATTCCCTCATGGTTAGTTGAACTACATATTGCGCTTGTAATGCAATGTTCAATGCAGTTCAATGCATTGGCCGAACTGATTGCATATCCATAGATAACATGAATATTCATGTTATCATGTTCATTCATTCATGTTATCACATTCATTCATGTTTATGTGGCATATCATATAGTACCACTGTTATACCATGGCTTACGGTGTCCATAAAACCATGCGAATTCATAGATGTTTGTTTTTTCCATATATCGACATGTGTTGCAGGCGGCTGATCCTGTCTGTTGTATGTGTGTTTGTGTGTTTTCCAGACTGTCCTGGTCTCCCGGCCGGCAGCCTGGAGCCCCTCACCAGGTGCCCTGAGCTGTACAGTCTCACCCTGTCCGGCGGCGTCCCTGACACCCTGAGTCTACAGCCCCTCACCAGGTGCCCTGAGCTGCACAATCTCACCCTGTCCGGCGGCGTCCCTAACTCCGTGAGTCTGGAGCCCCTCACCAGGTGCCCTAAGCTGGAGAGTCTCACCCTGTCCGGCGGCGTCCCTGACGCCGTGCTGGACAGTCTCAGCGGCTGGCCCGGGCTGTTGTTCCTTAGACTGGGGGACCGCCAGCGGCCGGCAGAGACGGCCTTCACAGCAGCAGCGGTCACCAGGTCAGTCAGCAGACATTGGCGAGGGGTGTCCTGTCAGACACTGACACTGACATACTGACACTGACACACTGACACTGACACACTGACACTGACACACTGACACTGACATACTGCACTGACATTGACACGCGGACACTGACACACTGACACTGACACACGGACACTGACACACTGACACTGACACACTGACACTGACACACTGACACTGACACACTGACACTGACACTAACACTGACACTGACACTGACACGGAGACACTGACACTGACACTGACACACTGACACTGACACACTGACACTGACACACTGACACTGACACACTGACACTGACACACTGACACTGACACACTGACACTGACACACTGACACACTTACACTGACACGGAGACACTGACACTGACACACTGACACTGACACACTGACACTGACACACTGACACTGACACACTGACACTGACACATTGTCACTGACACCAACACACCGACACTGAAAAACTGACACACTAACACTGACTCGTACGTCCGGCCGGCTGGTGCCGCTGTTTGTGTGTGACGTCTCTGCTGCTCTGCTCTGTTTACTGTTACAGACTGGTGAAGTCGTGTCGGGAGCTGCGGTTTCTGTTCCTTCACTGCACGGCAGACACCACCCGGGCCGTGCTGACCGCCCTGAAGGAGGCGAACCTGGGCTGGGACTTATTCGGTACCATCTATATCAGTGTCCCCGGTAGGTGAGAGGGCGCCGCGCGCCGCGCCTCTGACCAGTCAGTCCCTCACATCAGACGCTGCACGGCGCCACCGGCCTCTCAGACACACACACTCGACCACCGCCGCAGGCCACGTCACGGGCGGTGACGTGACGCGTCACGGCCACCGTTCCGTGCTTCTATCCTCAGGATACTGAAATCCATCTCCTCCACGCCGCAACCCCCTTCCGGGCTGGACATGCAACTTTATCTCATGCGGGCTGCTCCCTTGGAGCGGCACCGCTGCTCCCGAGGGAGCGCACCCCGTAGCCGGGTGCAGTGAGTGCCTTGGGGCTGGGTGGCCTGTCCTCTGGATGGGCTCAGCCCCGGCGACTCACTAGGGTGCCTGCCCAGACCAATGTCTCCCCCTAATTCCTATCATCCTTCCGGCTCTGAAATGGTCTTGACGACCGAAAGGGCCTAACCCAACAAAACAAACAAAACAAACAAACGCGTCACGGCCACCACGGCCGACGGTGACGTCACGTCAGCCGTCTGTCCTGTGTGTGACGTCACTGGCCGGCGGTGTGTGGACATGGCTGTACCGCTGTCTGTGTGTGTGTGTCTGTGTGTGAGGTGTCCACCTCAGACGTGTCTCTGCTCTGTCCACAGGGGAGCTGTACGATCAGCTGAAGAGCCAGCAAGGCGGTGGGGTCAAAGTGTATCCGTGGGAGGATTGATGCGCTGCACTACCGACCGTGCAGTGATGAGCTGACTGCAGAGAGGCCGAGCCAGTCGGCCGGGGCCGCCAGCTGACTGCTGCCGTGTGTGCTGCACCAGCCGGCACTGAGAGCGGCGCCGGTCAGCCGGCACACGGCCCCGGTGTCCGCTCTAGTGTAGTGATCTAGTTGTAGTGGTAGTAGTGTAGATGTAGTAATAGCACACGGATGTGATGTAGTGGGTAATTACTGGGCGGATATTGTGGGTAATTGGACGAGAGATATGGCCAAGTTAGTGGGTAATTGCCGGGAGGGTATTGTTGGTAATCGGACAGTGAAAAGTGATGTGATTGAGTGTAGAAACTGATCGTGACATTGCGATATTTTGTTTATAGAACCCACATCTTAGCTTAGCTGTATAAATGGGGGCCCTCCCGGACCGTCCGACTCGGTTCACCGCGCCTGGTCCCGGCGGCACGGCCGGCACGGTCACGTGACCGCCGTGCCGGGCCGGCTCGGCGGGCAGTCGGACGGGGACGCTGTCTCACCGGGCACCGAGGTGCACAGTAGTGATGTCAATTACAGAAAATCAGAATACCGATACCTAACTAAATACCAACGAAAATCCCGGGAAAATACCGAAACCAAACCAACTTGGGAAAATGAAGGAAATACCAACTTTTTACCGATTTCTTAGCCTCTTATACATTAGTCAGGGTTCATGATACCAACAAAATACCAAACACATTACGATTGAAATACCAAGTACCAAGTTGGTATCGGTTTGGTATCGGTATACCAAAACGTTGGTATCCGATTGACATCTCTAGTGCACAGCGCGCCATGTTGAGTGCTCTGGATGCGTGTTGTGACACTCACACGGACAGGTATATATATCAATATACTACTGGATAGGCCGTCCGAGCTGTATAGGCGGTGTCAGTTGAGACGGCGGCTCACAGCCGCGCCCGCCCGGCCGCTCCGGCAAGCGGGTGTCTGTTCTACTCTCTGTCTACTATACATACACGGGAGGAGTTGCTTGAGCTGTATCATATATGTAGCCGTCAATAAACCAATGAGCAGTGTGCCGAGTGTTTGTCCGACTGCACCGTCCGCCCCGCTCCGCTGTGAACCGTCATTTTCCGCCCCGCCCCGCTGTGAACCGTCATTTTCCGCCCCGCTCCGCTGTGAACCGTCATTTTCCGCCCCGCTCCGCTGTGAGCCGTCATTTTCCGCCCCACCCCGCTGTGAACCGTCATTATCCGCCCCGCTCCGCTGTGAGCCGTCATTTTCCGCCCCGCCCCGCGCGGTCACAGACAGTCCGCCCCGGCGGAGCGGAGCGACAGTCTCCGTACACCGTCTCCGTACCCGTCATATACGGACCGTACAGCGGCCGTCCACACTGCAGTGACACTGCAGTGACACACACTGACAGACACGGAGACACGGAGACACGGGAGACACGGAGACACGGAGACACGGACACACACGGAGACACCTCGACACGGACATACACGGTCCCCGGTTTCTGCCCGGCCATATCCACTCGAGCTACAGCGAAACAGGTGGGTGAAAGTCAGAAACTCAGAACTACTCGACTGATGTGGTATTATAATCAGCACCAAGTCCCCCCGTCCCGGCCATACAGCGGTGCGGCGCGGCTGCAGAGCTGTCTGCCGACTGGTGCGGTGCCGCCGGCCGTGGCCGCTCGTCTATGGGCGGGCCGGACTGCAGCCGGCGGCCGAGCTGCCGGTCCCGGCGACTCGCTGCCGGCTGGGCTGACCGCCGTCAGTCACCTGAGCGGTGCTGGCCGGCCCGAGCCGGGGCTGCGGCGCGCCGCGGCGCCTCAGCGACGCACCCTCTGGGACACTGAGCGGCGCGCACCGGTGGGACGGTCCCTGCCGACTGTCCCTACCCCATGAGTGGGACCGGTGGGACTGTCACTGCCGACTGTCCCTACCCCATGAGTGGGACCGGTGGGACTGTCTCTGCCGACTGTCCCCACCCCATGAGTGGGACCGGTGGCACTGTCTCTGCCGACTGTCCCTACCCCATTAGTGGGACCGGTGGGACTGTCTCTGCCGACTGTCCCTACCCCATGAGTGGGACCGGTGGGACTGTCTCTGCCGACTGTCCCCACCCCATGAGTGGGACCGGTGGGACTGTCTCTGCCGACTGTCCCTACCCCATGAGTGGGACCGGTGGGACTGTCTCTGCCGACTGTCC